CTTTTTCCCTTCCTCTCCTCTTGTCCGTGAGGGTTTCGCCCCCTGCCGCCGGCCACCTCTCTCGGAGAATGCGGTATGCAAGAGCTATGTTGTGAGGCTTGGGCGCCGTCGTGAAGCAGTGTCAGAACTCCGAACGGGGGCCACTTGAGATATCCAGGTGCGTTCTGCGTGATTGACGAGAGAGCATTGCCTTGGAGATGCGAATGTAGTTTTTATGTATAAGGAATTCTGGTCTCGGGAGCGCGAGCGTAGCGTAATTTACAAGAGTTTATGGCCTCGGGGACCCGAATGTTGTGTGTCATGTTTAAGGATTGTGGCCTCGGGGGCGCGATTACGGCGAAATTCGCGAGGCATTATGGTTCGGGGGCGCGAGTCTCAAGTATTTTCAAGTGTCCCAGGACCTCACGGAAATTCTAACACCCCCCCAGGTGAAGGTTACTGGGGCCCTTTTCTGCCCCTCCCCCTCGCGAGGATTTCAACAATTCACAGTGCGAAGCAGAACAGAGACTTGTAACATCGGAGACTGGAAACTGGAACTGGAGCAGGGAGCAGCAGGCCTAAGCCGTGAAGCCTGATGGCCCCGCAAGGATGCCGGCGGATTATTTCCCCCCCCCGCCTCTTCTCCTCTCGATTCATCACTCTCCTCCTCCTCCTTCTCCTCCTCCTCCTGCTCCTCCTCGTCTTCGTCATCGTCGTCGTCGTCCTCCTCCTCCTCCTCTTTCCTTCTCATCGTCATCGTCATTGTCTTCTTCTTGTTCTGGCGATGCCATGCTGCAGCTCAATACTGCATGCCGCCAAGTGTGAGGCAAAGCTCGAAGCCCGAGGCCAACGATGATGTGCTGCGTGACACCTTGTGCCTCCCGTCTCCCCGCTGTGGATCGATGCTTCATGTGTTTAAGATCGGAAACTGGAACGTATACATTACCAGTGGCTGGCGGTTTTTCAATTCCAGGGCTTTCTTGAGGGTCGGGGACGGCGTCGGGGTGTTTTTTTCCCCGATGTCCGGGGAAAATAACGAAACATGTATACACCAGGATCCCGTATACACCAGAATCCGCGTTCCTGTGCGAATTTCAGCGCAGGGTCCGGAAAAGCGTCGGTGTATAGAGTTCGCTTCCCTATAAGACGGTCACACCACGTCCGTCGTCCGTGCACCGTGTTTGCAGGTCTGCAAACGCTCCTCCTCCTCCTCCTCCTCCTCCTCCTCCTCCTCTCCCTCCTTCTCCTCTCCCTCCTCCCTCCCTCCTCTCCCTCCTCTCCCTCCCCCCCCGAGGGGTACCTCGTGGCGGGGTGCACCAGACCCGAGGGGGAGTCCTGCCACGGCACCATCCCGCCCTCGGCCTCCACCCCCGTGGGTTCCCCAGCGGGCTTTTGGTGCTGCCTGGCGCCCGGGGCCCCTGCCCGTCCATCCGTCGGGCGTCCCTTCGCGCGCTGGGCGTCTCCTCTCTGCTCCTTCCGCCCCGGTGTGCTCCGCGCAAGCCTTATCATGAAGCGCTGGGCGCACCGGCCGCTGGCCGCTGGGCGCCCGGGCGGACTCACATTGGGACCGGTCGGTGTCGCCAAGGCTCGGTCCGGGACCCTGAGATGGGGTCCATGCAAACGGGGGTCAGTCAGAGCGCCAGACCTTGCAGGATCCTGCCGGGCCAGGGTTGCACTGACCCAGGTTAGCGTCCAGGACCGCAGGATCCTGTCGATCCTGCAGGGTCTTGCAGGATCCTGCAAGGCCTGACTGACCCGCATTTGGATTGATCCGGGTCAGTAGATCCCCGATCGGTTTCGCCAAGTCGTTTTCGCCTGGTCGGTTTCGCCCAGTCGGTTTCGCCCCGGTCGATTTCACCTGCTCGCTTTCGCCCAGGGTGGCTGCGCCCAGCGGGTTTCGCCTGCGGTCGGCTGCGCTCGGTCTATTGCCCCCGCGGTCGGCTCCGCCCAGGCTCGGTTTCGTCTGGTCGGTCTCGCCCGCCTCCCGCCCGACCCGACCCGCCCGTTGGGGTCTCGCCCGCCCGAGCCGTTTCGCCCGCCGTGCACGGGCGACAGGTCTCGGGGAAACGCGCGACTTGAGAACGCCAGGACTCGGGTTTGCCGACGCTTTCTGACGAGCGCGTTTTGGATTCTGATGGTCCAGTTTTCGTTGGTTGTTTGCAGCGGGAGCTCGCGTCAAATTTCAGGCTGGGCCCCGTCGTTTTCATGATCGCCCCGTCAGGCCATCCCGAGTCCCCCGAACCCGAGTCCCGCAGTTGCGTTTCGCGTGCGCCGCGTGCCACTGCGCTAATCCAGCGAGCGGTGTCTGCGTAATTGCGCAGCGGGGACATGTTTTGCACCTATTTTGCAGCACCTATGTTTCTTACATTTTCCATGCAATTTAACATTTTCCTGGATTCCCAGGCTGTCTTACAAGGCTCACGTCTACCCGAAACTCGATGACTCAGACGCAGCATACTTTCATGATGTGCCGCCCGCCCGCCCCTTCACGCCTGTTAGGGCCCGCCCGCCCGACCCGACC